AAAAAAAAAACAAAACAAAAAACAAGTGGCCCTAGACATATTTATCTTCAGGAGAAGTAGACACTTGGCAAATGCTTCCTTAGAGACAAGTCCCCTACTCAGCATCAAGGATGAGGGCTGTGTCTGTAGGGTGAGGAGGGGGAAGAGCTACTCCAGCTGATGTAAGGGACTCAGCTAGCTGACGGAAGGGTCCCCTCTCAGGAAATCCTAATGTACTCACATCAGCCATGGGGATGAGGGCATTGGCCAGTTGCCCAATTCGGTTACTGCTGTGGAGCCAGGACAGAAGAGTGAGGCCGAGGGCCACATCCAGGAGCATGGAGACCAACATGTTGGCCTTCCTAGGAGGAGGGTCAGTGGGAGTGTGAGGTGCCCAGTGGCAGCCTACGGGTACACAAGGAGGTTGGTGCAGAGCAGGGGTAGGGAAAGGACTGGGCCCATGGTATTCCACCCTGTAAAGGAGCCCCTGGCCATACCTCATCAACTGAGCAGGGCTCTGAGCCTTCTGGGTACTGAAGACAAGTGTGAGGTGCTCGAGCCGGTGCCGGAGCTGCTCACAGGTGGAGAGCTTGCTGGCGATGAAGGGCAGAGGCCACAGCTTCCACAGCCTGCAGGGAAGCATGAGCATCCATTGAGAGATCCATCAGGGTTCTCCTTTCTGATGATGCATGTACGTGTAGGTGCAGAGAGGAAAGGCCAGAGCCCAGAGGCCCCTGCAGAATTCAGCAGGGCAAGGGGGCAGGTGGGGCAGGTGGCACTTCCAGGGCTCAAACACACTGGGCGCTCACCTTAACACAGAACCTGACATCCTCACAAAACTCTGATCTCAACATACCTTAGTCTCCTAGTCAGCCCAAATCTGACATCAGTACAGTCACTAAAGTCAGAATCGGGTGGTCTTCTATCTACCTAGGACCTGGCAGGTGTTGCCTGCCAGATGGGGCCCAGGGGGCTTGCCAAAGGTTTCCAGAACTAGTCCAGCTTCCCAGTGAGATTAAGTTTCTCATAAGGAAAAGGAAGCATAGAGAAACTTCCACAGGCTCTCATATGCTAAGGGCAGAAGTCTGTAAGCAGGAAAAAAGGGCTGGGGAGAGGGCTCAGTAGAATAAGTGCATGCCTGGCAAGCACAAAGGCCTGAGTTCAATCCCCAGTTCCACCAAAAAAAAAAAAAAAAAAAAAAAAAAAAAAAGATAGCTCAGCAGACTAAGCACTTGCTTAGGCAAGTGCAAGAATCAGGGCTTGACTTGGTCCTTTTTTTTCTTTCTAACTTGGTCCTTTTTTTTTTTTTTTTCTAACGTGGAATAAGATGCTATTTAATTTTGTTCTATAGCTAATATTTTTTATGTATATGCTGTAATGATTTTTTTTCTTTACAATAAGTTTTGGACAATTTCATCTTTATGTATCTTGGTATGATTTTATATAAATTTATTGTGCAAAAGGTTCATTTTTCTTGGAATTGTGGTATTATAAGTTGAACTAAATTCAGAAATTTCAAATCTTAAAAAAAAAAAAAAGAATCCGGGTTTGATTCCTGGGACCACATGCCACGCTGGCTTACTGAGTCCGAGTAGGCGTGGTGGTGCATGCCTATAATCCCCAGTGCTGGGGAGGCTGAAAACAGGAGAATCACTATGAGTGCATGTAGTGAGATACTGTACCAAATACATGTAAAAAAAAATAAAGTGGAGAAAAGTGTCTGATGGCAGTTAAACTGTGCATTTGTGTGGAGCCAGGATAGCAGCATCAGGCCAAAGCCCACATCTATGAGCACATCTACATTGGCCTTCCTGTAAAAAGGATCAGCCAGGGGACCATAACCTCATTCAAAGCCCCTAAAGCAGGAAGGAGGGGCCCAAAGCACACCTAGAAAGTGCAGAGCTGCAGCAAACCACACCCCCTAGAACCTGGGGAGGGTGGAAGTGAAAGGCCTCATCTTCAAGGAAGTGGCTCTGAGACAAAGGAATGGACCAAGTTCCACTGAGCCTCCCCTTCCTAACTGGCAAACAGGTGACCTCCTGCTGGCTGCACAGAGACCTTATTGGTGTGATGATCTCTCCAAGGCTGTGGATAAGCCTTGCATGGCTCAGGTCCCTGACAAAGCCATGAGAGGTGGAGGGGCTTCCCTCCCACAGTGACAACCATGGCTCACCTCAGTATCAGTGCCTATAATCACAAGTCAACAGCTAACACTTGGCTGATGTGCTAATCAATATCTGGTGCTCACCAGCAGTTCTGAATCCTTTTTGGGTCCTTCAGGAAGACAATAAAAGCTAAGAACCTTCTCTACCAAAACTGTACCTCAGTCCACACATGTGCTGTCATGAAGCCCCAAAGCACATTTCTAATATCAAGAACCCCAGTGGCTCCCAGGTGTGTCCCCACAGAGCTGCCCAAGCCCTGCAAAGTGGTAAAGACCAGTCCCACACCTGTGGTGAGTTCCTGGATCAAAGGAGAAGGGGCAACAGAGGGTAAACCACAGCTTCTCCCCATGGGATGATAGTCTTTTCAGGGAGACAGGAAGGGGTTTCCAGGTCCTCTGCTCATAAGCCAGCAAACCCAGAACCCTCAGGAGCTTTTATAAAATCATGGGCCAAGCCAGTGGGCCAAGTTCACTGCTGGTGGTTCTGAAGATGGGAAGTTGGGAACCACAACCCCAGGCCAACAGTGAGGCAATGTCACCCTACAGCATCAGTGAGCTCTGTCACCAGGGAGAGCTGTGGTGCCTGGAAGCCTGCTGTGTGGAGAGCTGGAGGCACAGGGAGGCAGGCAGGCCTGCAACAACTCCCAGATCTAAGGGACACAAATCATCCACACTTTACCCCATCCTCTTATCTGGTGGGCTGCACATAGTCACCGAGGCTGCTGGAAACACTGGCTCTCACCCAGGAATAAGGGACATAAAAACTGAAACTACTACTGGGACACCCTCTGAGATGTCAGGGGAAGAAGGGCAGGACCAGTGGCAGGGCTCTGGGGGTAGCTATAAACCTCGGGAAGACCCATGTAAGCCATGTCCCTGCACATCAAAGGGCAAGCCTGTAACTCTCAGGAGCCCCTGTTTGCCCCTCCCTCCATGGTCCCAGTGGCACCTACCGGCAGGTACTTGCAGCTGAGATCAATGACAGCAGGCAGGCCACCAGCAGGCAGAGAGGCCCTGAAGCCTGCTTCACCAGCTCAACGAGGATGCTGGCCTCCACACCTTCCGATTGCCAGTGGCTCAGCCTCACCGGGCCCTCATCGAACTGGTCTTTGCAGAACAGCACCTCGCTGCGTGAAACTGTGTCAAAGATGGCAGCCAGGCCCTCTGCACTGACTGTGGCCTCTCCAGCCTGGCAGTCAGGAAGGACTGTGGGTGGATGTAGGTGGGATAGGAGCACCTTACGCTGGTCATAGAAGATAAGCATGACCTCGTCCTCGCTGGAAACACCAGGGGTGCCAGACCCTTGCTGGTGGGTAGCCTTGCAGCTCCAGAACTTGCTGCCCTTCTCTCGGCACAGCTGAAGCCAGGGCTCATGGGAGAAGATGGTACCCAGACCCTCCAGAAAGTGGCCTAGGCTCTCCTTAGACTCCTGCTGGCGGTGGCACCAAGTCCCCAGCACAGCCAAACCCACCTGGCTGGCCTGCTGCACCTGGGCCAGGAGCTCCTTGACCTGGATGGGGATGAAGGGAAAGTGCACCACAGCCAAGACCACAGCACTGCTCTGCTCTGGAACCCAGCGTCCCACTAACAGGCCGTTGTCTGCAGAGGTGCAGCACGTAGGGAAGAAGGCCTTGAGAACCATCCCAGTGACTCTGGAAGGGAGGGAACAGGTACGATCAGAGCTGCTGCTGCACGAAGGATGGCAACCCTGAGGCCACAGCATGTGACAGGAAGTCCTCATAAATACATCTGCTGGCCACAGCTGGGGTGACCAGCTTTGGATTTGATCGTTGAGGCTGATGCACCCTGCCTATCCATCTCATATGGGCCTTTCTCCTCCAAGACCAGTCTGAGCACTGTCCCACAAGACAGGAGCTATGAGTGTCTTGGCTGAACACTCACACATGCTAAGCAAGTGCTCTACCACTGAAGTACATCCCAGCCTTTTTATTTTGAGATGGTATCCCCCTAAGTTATCCCGGCTACCCTGGAATTTTTGTTCCTTCTGCCTCAGCCTTCTAAATAACTAGGACTACAGACGTGTACTGTTACACTTGGCTAGTACAAGTTTTTGTTTTTTAGAGTAGAAAAGATTTATTGGGGAATAAGAATAGCTCCTCCTGAGAGACAGGAGAAACCTGAAAGTGGATTGCCACCAAGGCCCTTTGTTGGGGTAATTTATACATCAGTCACAGAGTACAACGTGGGTCATACAACAATCAATCAACAGGATTGAAATAATACAAAATACAAATACAATACAAAATAATAACTGTTTGGCATTATTTGTCTAATAGGGAAATAGTCACATACCAACAGTGTGTGGAAAGAACAAAGGCATTCTGGGGAAAGGATTGGCCGGATGCTCTGCTCACCCACCTGGGTGACTGATGCATAGCTGGGCTTTACAGGAACAAGTGGTACAAATTACAGTATAATTCCAAGTTACTGTTTACCCCTTAGGGAGGCATGTAGGCCTGACCATTGCATCTTTTGTTGTTGTTGTTGTTATTTTGGGGGTTTTTTTGGTCCTGGGAATTGAACTCAGGCTCTTGCATTTGCCAGGCAGGCACTTGTAGCAATTTTTTAAGAGCCCTGATTAAAGAGGCTTATTTATGTGTAGAACATTGAAGTGCATTGTCTCAACAAAATAACACACATTACAATTTTAACCAAGGTTTACTGATTAAGCTCTTAAGAATAAAAACACAAATTTAAAACAATCTTTTGAGGCAAGGAAACCAGAATAATGTACATAGCTGGCTACTCTGGGTACTGATGTAGCACCCCAGAAGATACCTGGAGGAGAACACAAAGCCTGGACTTCTCCCTTCCTGAAGGGAACCTCTCCCTCTGTGGCAGGGAGGGCATCCACCTGTCCCTGTAGTCAAGAAACAGACTCAGCTATCATGACGTTTCTGCCCTCATGGTCTCCCTCCACCCTACCTGCAGTGCCCCTGGGAAGTGCCCACCATTCCCTGGGATCCCAGTAGCCACTTAGGATAGGGCTCTAAGAAGGGGAGCATTTTCCCCTTTTTACTATACATTTCTCCAACCATTTGACACACAGCCATCTAGACATGAGGTGGGTGGGCATAAGACTTGGAGGTATGGAAAATGCTGTCACATTGTCAGAGTAAGGACACACCAGCCTTATTGGCCTTCCACTACCTCACTGTGGCCTTGAGCAGCAAGCAAAGGCTTATGTAGCTGTACTAAATTCTGCAGGGCCCTGAGCCTTCCCCCAAGCTAGAGACTGTGTGTTTCCTTGTAGGTACTCCCCACTAAATTGGGCAGGTTTTCTCCTTCCTCCACCTGAGTCCCTGCAACAGGCGAACAGAAGGACCACCTCACAGGAGGGGTAAAGATGTTCACATTTAACTTCTTTGTCTCCATGAAGGACAGAACAGTAACCCAAGCAAAGTCCTCCAAGATGGAACCTACACCTGATGAGGGGGACACAAGCCTTAAACTGAGTCGGGGAACTCCAAGTCCAGAGTTCACACAGCCCTTAGGGACAGACAGGGTCACAGGTCAGGGACGGACCTAATACACACACAAATACCAGGAACTTAAGAGACTATGATCCAGTGGTCCTGTTTTCCTGAAGGAAGGTCAGATCACGGGCTAGAAGGCCTAGGCCAGAGATGGCAAACCTTTTAGACTCTGCAATGATACAAATCACCTGCTGCATGCCATTGGTTTACCAGCTTGGGAACTCACAGCTGTGAATTCTAACTGTGAAAGGTACCTGAGTCAAGCTATAGAACTCCCAAATGCCCCTTCCCCATAGTGAGCACCGAGGGCAGCTGTTGGATGTTCACAAAGCAAACCCAATTCCTCAATTTCTCTTCCTGTCCCTTCTTCAGGGCCTTCCTCCAGAGGGCCATGAGGCACTTAAGGACACTGTGAGAGGAACAGAACAATTCTGCCCGTGGGGGCCCGACCTGTTTAGCTAGGTACTGCCACAAGGGGCCAGTCAGCACAATCCAAGCCTTTTGGCATCAGCCCTTCAAGATACCAGCTCAGTCAAGACAGCACCACACCCTGCTGGCACACACTTTTTCACAGAAACCAAGGGAAATGCCCTATAACTATTATCTGAAGAGAAATACTTTGATCTAATAATAAATATGTTCTAAGGGCCAGCGAGATAGCTCAGTGGACTAAGCACCTGCTCTGGCGAGCTCAGGGATAAGGGTTTGATCCCTGGTTCCACATGCTGCACCAGCCCCACCCCTGGAGCACAATGAGCCTGCAAACAAGTCCAGGTGTGGTGGTGCACATCTGTAATCCCAGTGCTGCAGAGGCTAACAGGCGGATCACTACAAGTCTGAGTTGCGTAGTGAGACCCTGTATTAAATACATAAATGAAAAAAAGGGTTGGGGAGATGGCTCAGTAGAATAAATGCCTCCCTGGTAAGCGCAAGGGCCTGAGTTCAATCCCTGGTTCTGAAAAAAAAAAAAAAAAAAAAAAAAAGTTCTGTGGTGAGGAGTTGGTTATTTAGTATGTTCAGATTGGCTAAATTCAACAGTAGTACACACACTATTTGTGCGCTTGCTTTGTGTGTAGTATTCCTTACCTACAAAACATCTTAAAAGCAAAACAAAACAAGAAACATCTCGTGTCTAAGGAAAGATTAGGAGGCAAGATATTGATGCTCTGATCGTAAGAGTGGTGAGAGACCTCAACAGGTTAGGAGGCAAATTCTCATCCCTGTTCCCACCTCAACCTCTGGGAGTGACTGAAATGCAAAAGAGTATGCTCCCTCACCAGGCTGCAGGGGATCCAGCAGCTAGAAAAAGATGAAACACCAGGTAATCGATAGCAGAGAAGGTGTGAGATGAGGGAAAACAGGCAGAAATCCGGGCAAGATAATGACTATCTTTAAAGATGTTGATTACAAAAACAACTGCCAGAGCCTGGAAAAGAATGTGACAGCCTCACAGGGTCTATCATTAGATAGTGCTAGGTGATTAGGTGAAGAGGTCCCCTGACAATCTCCTACAGAAAGAACTCTAATCAAAAGTCCACCCCATGAAGCAGAAGTACTAACTCATCCTCCAGTGCATGAATAGACTGGGGACCCAAACTGGACAAGCCAGGGACACAGGCAGAAAGCCCGCTCTGTGAAGCCTCGGAAGGAGTCACCTTTACCCTGTGTTGTTTCTTTAAACACGCACACACGCGCGCCCAACTCTGTTCTTTCTACAGACAGTGCTTTTCTCTCATTTCACAAGGGTGGAGGTGAGTCTGTTTCGGCCCTTTCCTGTGGTCAGGGACAAGTGTTAGGTACAAGCCAGTCCCACGGACGCCAGGGCCCTTGCAAGGAGTCCAGATGGGTCCAGGGTGGGCAGAGCCAGGCGCCCTTTAGCCTCTGGGTGGCAAGTCGACCTCACTTTGCGTACAACGAAACAGACCTGAAAGACCAGAGGCTAGCGCGGCCTCAGAGACTGGATACCCTCCCATAGTCCCACTGAGGACTCCGGCCCTCCCCGTGCTCACCGAATGGTCCCCCGGGCCACGTCTCCGGGCGATGGTGAGGGAATGAGGGTTTGGCACCCTGTTAAGCAGTCCTGGGCGGACAATGGTGCTAGAAGCCTCTAGGCTCGCCCCGTCCCCGCTGTAGGACAACAACCCCATTTCCGCCCGCTTCGCGCGTTGCTGAGCGACGGTCCTACCCTTAAAGGCACCGGGTCTGCCTGCGGGCTGCGCACTAGCGTTCCGTGCGCAGAGGACAGCCCCCAACCCCGCCAAGTATTGCGGAGCTACCCGATTTGTTCCTCTCTCCCAAGGTAAAAAAGCCCTCAGGCCCACGTGAGGTTTCAAAGGAGCTGTCTCCAGCCGGTGCCTTTCCACCGTGTTGTCTATGGAGGGGCTGCCCTAGGCCACTGCAGGCCCCTTGTATTATGGACTTGTGCCCGGATCACCCAGTCCCTGGCCGATCGATCCAATGGAGAGGTCACACACAGACGCCCTGGCTCCCTGCTGTAGGAACAACATCCCTATAGTGAGGGCAGTAGCTGACATTTATTGAGCCCTAGAGGCAGGCCCTAGTGCCTGCAGCTTTTTATATCTGCCCATTTAATTTCTCACCTGTGGATGCCACAACCTAGTGAGTGAGACAACCAAGAATGGCAATGACCTGAAGTACAGACCCCTGATCTGGGACTGGGTAGAGGTCATCTTACAACCTACAATGGCAAGACTGTTCCCTCTAGCATGAAACCCCTTCCTGGGCCCAGACTTACTGAATACTCCACACACACCCCCACACCAGACACCACACACACACACACACACACACACACACACACCCCTTTCAGGCTCCTTCCCCATTTGGGAGGAAAGCCCCCCCCCCCCCTCCCCGCAGCAGGAGTCTGTCATCAGAGACTGGAAGTTGCCACCAGGAACCCTCCCAGCACTCCCACCCTCCTGTGCAGAAGAAAACATGCAGAAGAAAAATTGAAGGCTCACACAGCTTTCGAAGTAGTTCCATGTGGGGAAGTGTCCCCCAGGGAACCTCCAGGCCTGACCCTCCATTCTGCCTTCTCCTTACCTTTTCTGGGCCCAAAGAAGCTGCTGGAAGCTCAGGACAGTGGGTGCTTCTGAGGCTAAGGGACATTAATGGGCCCCACCCCTGCCCCAACCCACCCTGCCTAGCCACACCCTGTCTGCCTGCTTCTGATTAGGAGGCTGGAGCTGGGCCTGGCAAAAGATCTTGCTTAGGTATGTGCTGGCTGGCAGCCCATCATTCTAAAGGATCTAGGGTTCAGCTGCCCATCCAGAGCTCAGGCTTCTGGGACCTGAGCCAGCAGAGCCAAGGCTTGAGTAGACATGGGAACAAAGAACACAGGGCCAGGGGCACACTGAGCAGAGATGTGGAAAGGCCCAGCTTTGGAGCATTGAAGGAGAGTCATCTGACTCACAGCTCTCTGAGAGAAAGGCACAAGACCACCCCAGGGCCAGGTACATTTGATCTCAGAGTCAGGAGCATGACCAGGAGCCTCAAAGGAACCCACTGACCTCCTGTGGGGTGGCTTAAGAGGCTTGAGGCTGGCCAGGGCTGGAGAGATAGCTCAATGGCACACACACCTGCCTGGCAAGTGCAAGGTCCCGAGTTCGATCCCCGATACCTCAAAAAAGAAAAAAAAATTGTCAACTGAGGCTGGCCAGGAGTGAGGGGTGTTTTCATCAGTGCCCAGCATCAATCCAGTTCTCCAAGGTACTGGTACACCTTGATGCAGTTGTCTCCAGCATCTGCCACCACAAGCCGGCCCTGGGGAACACAGGCCACACCCAAAGGCCGTTTCAGCCTCTTTGACAGCAGGCAGATGGGTGGCCCAGCCCGGGGAAACAGGATCACCTGGTGCCTCTGCTCATCAGCCACAATGATGTTGCCCTCTGAGTCAGAACACACACCTGCAGGGCGGCCAAAGCGATGCCCTGTTAGGGTCCCCAGGGAGCCCAAGGGCTGGCAGGCACTGCCAAACAGTTGCACATCCCCAAACTCCTCGCTCACTGCCAGGCCCCCTTCAGGACCTGGACCTACCCAGCAAGGGCCCTCCAGACCCAGCACTGAGCGTAGGGCTTGGGGCTCCCAGGTAGGGCCCAACTTGAAGATGTGTACAACCCCACGCACATAGTCTGTTACCAGGAGGCGACCCAGGGCATCCACAGCCAGCCCTCGGGGGGATGGAAAAGTCCCCACTATCACCCAGTGGTTCTGTGGGTCCCAGGCAGTGTGCTCAAGAGCGTGGACAGCTCCATGGATGAGGTCACTGACCACCACAAGCCCTGAAGTTGTCACAGTCACATCCTCTGGAACAAAGGCCCCAGCCCTTGGTGTGTGGCAGGGCAGGTGGCAGATGGATCGTCCCTCCAGGTCAAGCACATAGACATATGGTGCTGCCCCAGCCGTCAGGAAAAGTAGACCATCTGAGGAGCAGTGTAGGCCTCGGGGTCCACCTGCAGCCCCTGCAGGAGCTGAGATTTTCCCAAGCAGCCGGGGCTGCCGGGAAAAAGTAGTGTCTCCAGTGGGATCCAGTGTGAACTGCAGGCCTGAGAGTAGCTGGCCGGTGTGGGGTCAGGAGGCCAGAGAATCAGGGACAGGAGACCAGAGTGTAAACAGGTAGGCAGCGTGACAGTCTTGGCTTCTTTATAGCTGCAAGAGAGATAGAATGGGGCATGGCAATGCATGTATAATCGTAGCTATTCAGGAGGCTGAGGCAGGAGGATGGCAATTTTTGAGACCAGCTAGGCAATTTTGCAAGACCTTATCTCAAAATAAAAAAGGGGGTTGGGGTCTTTTGCCTAACATGCCAGGACTTGAATTCAACCCCAAGGGATTGAGGGAGAGAGGGAGGGAGGGAAGAAAGGAGGGAGACAGGGAGGGAAGGAGGGACTCTTCCCCTACGCATGAGTGGTCCTGCGACTTTGTGGTCCTGGTGCCCTTCTGAGCAGAACTGGCATTTCCCATTGTACAAATGAAGAGCCTAAGGCATGAATCAGGGGGCCGTGCTGAACTGGATTTGAGGATAGGTCCTCTAGATCCTAAGTGCCCATCTGGTCCCCAAGTTCAGGACTCCCAGAGTCATGGTACCTGATAAGAGGAGTCTGGGAGGTACAATCCACCCTCAAAGGTGAAGGTTTAAAGTTTGGGGTTTTGTTGTTCTTTGTCTGTTTTTGTATTTTTTTGAGACAGGGTCTCAATATGTAGCCCATGCTGGCCTCAAACTCAGTCTTCCTGCCTCAGATTCCTAAATGCCAGGGTGTGCACAACCCCAAGCACATAGTCTGTCACCAAGAGGTGGCCTATAGGTATGTGCCACTATGCCCAGTTCCTTCACGTTTTGCCCCAAATGAGCTCACAGCCATCACAATGTCTTGGGTTGGGAGTGAGGGGTGAAAGATAAGTACCATCTCTCAAACTGCCCACAGGACCTCTTCCCTCTTGGAAGTAGCCTAAGCCCCTGCTGGTCATCCTCACACTTGGGAACCTTCTGACCCAGATGGTGAAGTGGAGTTCCTTCCCAGGGCTCTCCTCTGTGCCTTCTAGAGAGATGCTGCCAGGGGGGTCCCATACCTGGGGCTAGGCTCCCTGCTCCTGCTCTATGATAGTTCTGCTCCAGTTCCGCAACAGTTCTGTTCCTGCTCAACTTCTGTTGTTGGAGACCAAGGCCTGTAGGGGAAGGCGGGACGTGGGGCAGGTTCCCTGCAGGGACAAGTCTGTGGGCGGAGGAGGCGAACTCTGTTGTTGGAGACCAGGGTCTGTAAGGGGGAATGGGAGGAGTTCCCTGCAGGGTCAAGTCAGTGGGCAGGGAAGGGGACAGTCTACCCCACTGCAAGGAGGAAGGTGAGGTGCAGTGGGGTGAGGAAGCAACCAAGGAAGCTCTGAATTGTAAAGCTAGTTCTCTTTCTGCCTCAGGTTTCAGTGGACCGCACCCTCCCTGGACATTCTTCCCTCAGGCCTTGCATGGCTGGTTGCCTCTTGGCTGGACCTCTCCTCTCCAGGACACCCACGCACACACATAGCCAGAGGCAGCCTCAGGCCACAGCCCCTAAGTGGGACTGTTTTGGCAGAGCCCTGGGGAAGGTGACCTGCTGGCTAGGTCACTCTTTTGCCACCCCCAGCAGGAGAGCAGGTTGGTCCTGTCTATGCTCATGTGAGGCTGGCAATGCTGCTTCCAGCACAAGAAATCAGGGTACAACGTACACCAGGGATGCCAAGGGACGGGTGTGCCTCAGACTCAGGACCTGGGGTTCCTTCAGTACCTTCTAGCTCTCCTACAGACTCTGGAACCCCTCTAGGAAAGCTCCAGTGGAGACTGCATGGCTGGTATCTGTCAGCCCTGGTCTGCAACCCATAGCACCTGTGCCTGGTCACCTAGCACCCGGGCTCTGGACACCACCTGTAACGCCTCATGGTGGGGTGGCTAGCTGATGCTATCACCAGTTGACTGCAATTAATGGGGCAGCCGAAGGTCCTGCTTGGACTGGCCCCAGCCCGGCCAGCCTAGCCCCAACTTGGCTGTCCAGGTGCAGGCAGGAACAGCGCCTCCTCCGAGGGTAACCTGCACTGCGGGGGCCATTCCTGGGTGGGCATGGAGATGTGGCCCAGCTTCCCAGAAAGAGAAGTTATTAGCTGTGGCTCCAGGACCCTTGGTCCTCCTCCCTACCCACCCCCACCCCCACCTGTGGAAGGCCAAGCCTGGTTGCACTGGGAAGGAGGCAGCGAGCTGTGAAGGCCACCGATACCTATCATGGCTGCAGGGGCTGGCGGGGCCTAAAGGAGGCCATGCAGGGAGAAACAGCCCAGAGCCACAGAATGCAGGAAGCACATATAACTATAAGAGAAGCTGGGACTAGGATGGCCTGGGCATGTTGGGGACAGGCCTCTGCTTAGATCCCTGCCAACCTTTGGTTCACCAAAAACCAGGAGACAAATCATCGGAGTAGCCCCATCCCCTGCTGATGCCCCCATCCCACCCCTCTGGTCCCAGCCCCAGAGAAGGGATTAGTCCACCCCATTCCAGGTCCCAGGATGGTCCCAGTCCCAAGTGGAAGGTCAGCAGAGAAGCCAGAGACACTGCCCACCCAGAGGCCTAGAGCAGGGACATTTCTTGGAGTGTCCTAGTTCTCATGCTGGGGAAAGAAGAAAAGAAGGCAGCCCAGTCAAGGTGTTTGAAGGTGACTTCCACTTTAATGTTCACAGTCGTGATCAATAAATAACCATGACCCAACTATTCCCATGTGGCCCCAGAAACAAGTCTCATCATAGGCTTTGGGGTCCATCCACACGCATGCTGAGGCTGGACAGGCCCAGAGAATGGGGCTAGGATTGGGGAACAGCGTCAGCACACTAAGGGGACTATGGTCAGACCTCAGCACTTGGGGCACTCTGCAGGCCAGGGACATCCTTAGGGGTCTGGGAGCCCCCAGCTCTGATACGGGCACCCCAGCCACTGCCAGGAATGACAGGGTCCTCAGGGCCCTGGAGGGGCAGGCCAGGGGGTGGGACACTGGAGTCAGCCTCGCACTTGGTGGTATGGCCAGAGAAGGGCTGTGGTGCTACAGGGCCCAGCATGCTGGGGGTCTCTGAGGGCACCCCAGCCAGTGTGGGGACCAGCTCAGGCAGTCCCCAGGCCCCTGCTGTGGCCTCAGGTGCCTTAGAGGCGACTCGTTTCACAGAGAGGTCCAGGGGCGTGTCTGGTGGCTGTGCTGCCCGTTCCAGAGCCTGATGAATGGTCAGCAGCTCACGGCGGATCTTACCCAGCTGCTCTCGGAGAGGTCGGGGGACCAAGCCTCCAGCTGGAGCCAGCTGCCCCAGGCATTGCTCCACCCTAGCATAGTCACCCAAGGCCCGGGTTAGGTCCTTTCCCACAGGCCCTGGGCTCCCCATCACTAGGCCCTGTGGCTGCTGGGGAAGGGGGACCTCCAGGCCTAGGGCATCAGGGTCACCCAGCTCCTTGTCCTCAGGCCAGAGCATCAGCGAAGAACCAGTTGGTAGGCTGCAGGGTAAGAGATAGTCAGGAGTTCTGCAATGCCCACCAAAACACCCCAAACCCCTGCTCCCTGTGTTCTTTTGTTGTTGTTGTTGTTGTTGAGACAGGGCATCACTGTGTAGTTCAGGCTGACCTTGAACTCACTATATAGCCCAGGCTGGCCTCAAACTTGCAGCGATCCTCCTGTCTCAGCCTCCCAAGTGCTGAGATTACAGGTGTGTGCCACCACACCCAGCTCCCTGTGTTTTCTGCCCATTCTGTCATCTATAGCCAAGGGAAAGAGAATGGGGTCCCCCAAAGACAGACAAGACACTCGTTGGTCTCAGTTTCTTTCTGTAACCTGGAGCCTGTACTTCCAATGAGTAAGCTCGGGACAGCCCTCCCCCCCACCCAGCCCTCCCCTGACCTTTCCACTGCCAGAACCCAGTCCATGCTACCCACCTGCTTTGGGGATGGAACTTTGCCAGGTGTGAGGAGGCCTTCTGAGGCTCCAGCCTACTCCCTGGAGGCGGCCTCCTTTGGTGGTCACTCTGGACAGATCCCTCAAGATCTCCTTCTTGCCCTGGGTCTCTGGGGGTGCTGTGGACCCAAGCCCGGGCCAGCCCTGGAATGGGCAGCTTCAGCAGCTCAGGAGCCAGAGTTCCAGGGGGCCCCTTAGGGGGTACAGAGGGCTTGGCCTGGGCTGCCCTTCCTGGGGGCAGCCCTACTCTGTGCTCCAGCAGTAGTGGGTAATACAGGCGGGGCGCTAGGGCCTGGCGCTCAGGAGGTTGCTGGGATGGCACAGGAGTGGCTGGGGGCAGTAGGGGGCTAGCTGAGGCCAGGAAGGGCATGTGAGCAGCAGCGGCCAGTGAGGGCAGGTAGGAGAAGAGGCCTGGGCTGAGAGGGTAGTTGACACCCAGCAGAGACAGGTGGAGGCTGTGGGACTCAGGGAAGTCGCCTGGAGGGGGAGGTGGGTAGCAGGGGACACTGGCCTCAGGACCTGCTGAGGCCATGGCCCCCACAACCCCCAGGGTTGTGCTCCTTGGGCCACTACTCAGCCCTGGCTTCCATGACTCTAACAGAAGCCCAGTGGGGCCAGGACCCTTCCGGGAGGCCCTAGTCAAAGGGGGCAGTGGCCCTGGTGACCCCTCAGCCACAGGGGTGGGACCCCCACCACAGTGGTTCTGAGAGAGGTTGTCAGTGACAAGATTGGGCATAGGAGGCTGGATTCCAGGGCCTGGAGTATTCCTGGGGCAGTCAGGAGTGGGCACCTGGGGCCTGGGAGAAGAGGGTGCCCGGCGGCATGTCCATTCAGGGGAGTCCAGCAGCAGAGAAAGGGAGTCTTTGCAGAGGCTGTATTTCATGTGGTTGTATAGGTGGGACTTCTCCAGGCAGGTGAAGGGGCACTGGAAGCACTTGTAGTTGTATGGCTTGCCCCAGGGCCGAGGGATGTAGTGTGGTTTCTTGGGCTTCCGAGACCGCACTCTGGCCCCTGCACCCACACGGCATGATCCTGCCTCTCGAGACATGGCAGGCTACTAGTGGGCAGGTCCAGGTACCATGGTCATCTGTGGAGAGGGGACTGTGGTCAGTATCAGGTCTCTCGGGCTCCTTGTCCCCTGCACAGGATGTCCCCTGCATCCCCCACTCCAGGGATAAGAGTTCAAGGAGTCCTGCTTGCTTCTGCCCTTTAGCTTTGTCTTCTGTACTACAGACTTTGACCTTGAACTCCTCTCTAGGTACTTCTACAATTGCCAGGTTAGCAAAGAAAAATGTAGAGCTCCTGTTCAAATTTGACTCAAACACTCAATAATTTTCTAGTACAAGTATGGCTTAAGGGCCAGGGAAATAGCAAGCATAAGGTCCTGAGTTTGATCCCTGGTACCAAAAAACAAAACCAAACCAAACCATAAAAATAAATACAGCTTAAGCATTATCTCTAAACTATTCTAAAAAATTATTGGGTATCTGAAACTTCGATTCACTGGACATACTGTATTTAGCCAATGACAATGTACAAATTCCTCTCCTGAAGATAGGCTGGCCCCCCAAGCCAGTTTCTGGGATAGTCTCTGTACAGCCTTAACCGTTATGCCAGGAAGGTGCCCAGCACCTGATAAGTGACTGAAAGAAGCTGCAAATGGCCAGGACCTCCTGATTCTCTGCCCCCCAGAGACTCCCATGCTTGCTGAGCCACCTGCCCCCACTGGAGACAAGGTGAAAGCCAATGAGACAGAAACCAGCAGAGGCTCCAATCCTCTGGCTAGCACTGTGTGTGTGTGTGTGTGTGTGTGTGTGTGTGTGTGTGTGTCCACATGCCTGAGAGTACTCTAGTGTGTCAGGTAGGCATGGGGTCTCAGAGGGGCCTGGCTTCACAGGGAGCCAGCCCAGGCTTGGGGGAGTGGACAACACAGCATGGCCCCGTAGCACAGCCACCTGCTCAGCCCAGCTCCATCTGGGTGGCTTCAGGCAGGTCGGCGACCGAGCCTGCAGCAGCATGCTCAGCCAAGACCCTCTCCTCCCCATGCTGCACCACACGCCAGCTCGGGAGCCGCTCTACCCTCCATCTGGGCCACCACCTGGGCTGTCCACCGCCCTGGCACTTGTGCCTGTGTGGGGTGCATGGCGTGTGTGCACAGAGGCATAAAAGGCTCTCCAGGAGCCCTGGTTCAGCAGCTCAAGAAGCAACCTCTTGGTGGCTATGCCACCAAGCACAGCAGGGCCTGGACATACATGCCCACACATCCCATATACAATTTAGGTAAATACCACTCCTTATACATGACAACACATACATGTGCACATGCACACAACATTCATCCAAGGACACACACAAACATAGCTGGAATTCACACAATCAGAGACCCATCATAGATGTGGATACATGTGTACATCATAGATAGCCAGAGGGTTGAACTAGAAGTTGCTGAGTGGTTTTGGGCACAGCTTTCTTCCATATTTCCATGAATAGTCAGTCCAGAGAGGAAAGCTGCCTTATTGCCACGAAATTTCACGTGGGTACCTCTGTTACAGGGTGAATAGAGGCCCTCCAAAGGGTCAGCATGTCCAGGCCAAGGTATGAGAGTGGCTGCAAGGTCAGAAGGAGTGGGCTGGCCCAGGGGACCCCCACCTAGATTTGGTGGGTGCTGAGGCAGTCCTTCTCCCTGCCCTGTTCCCTACCAGATGTGGATGACAGATAGGCATGCATGCACAGGCGACAGAGGCGGCTGTACCAGGCCATCGATCACCCAGCCCTGGGAGCCACACAGCTGTGCAGACTGGTGCTGGCACCCCCCCCACACACACTGGGACTAGGGGCTCCTCCTGGGTCCCCCGGACTCCAGAAGGCTCCTTCCATGCTGTCCCTTTAGGTCAGGCACTGGTGGAGGGGGAGGTGTCCAGAGGCCATCTCATCAGGTGCTGACCCCAAGAGGAACCAGAGAAAAGCCAGCTCTCACCCAGCACAGTGTACAGGGATGGGAGACCATACCAGTCACTCCTTGACACACACAAAGATACATCACTGCCCCTCACCGGACCTGTAACTGACCAGGACATGTTTTCAGACACTCTGGTTGCACTCCCAGTCTAGGGTGAACCCTTGGCACTTGGCACCCTAGGAGGCCACCAGCAGATCATAGACCACCCAACCTGTCGCCATTGGGATTCAGAGAGCATCCCTCGCAGCTTTCACTTGGTCGAGGTGGGGCTGACTGGACTGCACTTTCCCTTGCCTCCCTATTATATAGCGCCCAGGTGGTCCCGATCATGGAGTCTGAACGCAGGGCAGTGGGGACGTCCCAGAAGCTGAGCAAATCTGCCTCTCTAGCGCTCCGGACCCTGGTCCAGCCCGTGCGCCCGCCCGGTGCCCCAACTTCGTGGGAAGCCCCTCCGCCCGCCTTACCTGCGTCTGCCGAACCGAGCCTGCAGCTCCCGCCAAGTCTGTGAGGAGGAATGAACTTCTCGCGCACACCGGTAAACGCCACGGGGGAAACTGAGGCCAGATACTGGGAGCAGCTCCGGCACAGTGGCGTCTCCTCGAAGCGGCTGCAGATGACTGCGTCCCCCCGACGCCTGCTCGCCCACCGAAGTTGGCAGCGAAGCGCGCGCGTGCGCCACGGCGCGAGCTCCGGGGCGCGGCGACCTCCGACCCGGCTGGGGCGCGGGGAGGCGGGACAGCCCTTGCCCGCGCACTCGCCAACCAGGTCGGGACGGAGCACTGGCCTCGGATGCCGCAGGGCCACCGACTCGGGAGTGGCGCGCAGGTGCGAGCGAGTGGGGGGCGATGGGCACCGTCCCCGCCCCCAGTTGCCTGCAGGCTGCCGCGGGGGTGCGCAAAGGCGCGGAGGTCTCCCGGGTCCCGCAGCGGCGAGAAGGGGCGTCAGCGATCATCTGTCAGGGCTCTGGTCCCAGACGGCTGTCTGTCCACCTAGCCCGGAACTGGTCCGCAGAACTGTCCTGCAGGGGCCGACCCACACACCCAGGCTGCGTACCTGCGGCTCTCCTGGGTCAGGCGGCCCTGTACACTTTCCAAACAGGAGGTGAAATGGCTGTGTGCTCCTGTGCCCCTGCCAGCCCACTGTTGGTCACTACCTCAGGCTGCACACTGTGTGTGAACACCCTTTTTCTGGGATTTAGCGCCCCAACCCCCCTCTCAAGAAGTGCTTGGGGGGCGCAGTGTGGACAAATTTTGGTCTGTGATCTGAAGGTTTTCCTGTCTTGGGAGGTCTTGAGGGTGGTAAGAGGGCCAGGGAGGGTCAGGGAGGGGATGAATCAAGAAACGCCTCCCTCCTCATCCTCATAGCCAGAGCTTTCCCTGACCTGTCAAAACTCAGCATTCCAGGATCCTACTTTTCCTGCTCTTCCTGACCAAAATTTGCCTGGCCAGTTGGTTCCATCCCAGAGGTGGACACAGACATGACTGGAACAGCTAGAGCTTTCAAATAAAACAAAATACCTTTATTCAGATGTATGAAGTGGGTTTGAGATATGGGATCTCCAGGCCAGCTCTGAAAGCACTGGAAATCACTTGACTGCTGAGGGCCCAGACTGCCTGCAACAGCTGTAGGATCCTGGGGTCTTCCCAACCCACCTCAAGAATAAGGAGTTTGAGGAAGTAGGAGGATTCTCTAGAGGCTTCTGGGTGCTGCCCTACAATGGGACAGACAAAAGGAGCATTGATCTCAGAATCCAGCACCTCCTTGACCCTGTGAGAGCAGCCTTGGCTTCTAGGTCTGTTCAGTGGGGGTGACAGCCAGGGATTTTTGGAGTGTTGCTCAAGGAGCCTGGCCACATGGTTCTGGAGGACAAGAGCTCAGTTTGCTTCCTTCCGCTCCCATGCTATCTTCTGATGCAGCAGCCCACTGCTGAGAGGTGACTATGGTGGCATGGGGCCAAAGGGGTGCTGTGGACATGGCAGCATGTCAGCCTTATTTTTGCCTTCCTGGCCTGGCCTAACTGACCAGCTGACTGGGCAGGTGGCCCTGGGCTGGGAGACAGCTTGTGCAGCCATCATGCCAGCAGCCTTGTGGAGACAGGGACCAGGAGCCTAGTCCCTCACTATGGGTGCTCACCAGAAAGGCAAGGGGACCCAGGTCACCCTAATAGGGTGAGAATTGGGACTTAAGGCCTTGGGTTCCAGGAACAGCTCTGTGCTCTCTAGGCTCCCACCGGTGACCTCAGGCTGACCTACCTGAGGGTCTTGGAGAGGCCATGTCTTCCAGGGAGGAGGCTATGTCTGCAAGGAAGGGCTGGCCAGATCTTGGTGGACTCTGGTCTCAATATGCAGGGAATGAAGCCCAGTGAAATTCAAGGAGCTTCAGGAGAGACTAGGATGTGGTGTTATGTCAGAAAAACAGGAAGGTGCTAGAGGCACTCCTTAGCCCAAGACTTCCTCATCTCTGCCTGATGAGACTAGAGATTGGAGAGGAGGAAGGGGCTATACTTAGGGGGACTTAAAGGTGAGTGACCTTCATGGATTTCCAGGTATATAGGAGAGATCTATGAAGGAAGAATGCACAGAGCTGGGCTCTTGCTCTTGAGGGCTTATAGAGCTGGTTGGATACTGGTCTACTGCCCCTCTGCAGGGGTTCCTAAGCACAGCAAGTCTCTTAGGGTCCCCTTCCTCAGATCGTGACACCTCCTTGGACTTATCTTTCACACACACTGGAGACCTGGGGCAGGGCCTGGGACCCTACAGATTTGCAATTTGGTATTTCCCTGACCTGTATCCTGTATTCCCCGGGCTATACATCTGTTGAAGGGGTGGGGTGGAGCCTCCGTCTTGTGGGGGAGTTCCTGGCCCTAGAGGTATCCTAAGCAGTGGTGGCGGTATCTTCTTTCGGGTGCAGATGTATGGTGCCCCTGCTTCTGTCTTCAGCTGGAGGTTTATATCTACCATTAACCTTTTGTGCCTGGCCTGCCCATGGCTACCCGCCTGTCACCTCCATTATTGCTGGGGCTTGCCAGCTGGACAGAGAATGGGGGATACACAGAATGGCTGGGGTCTGCAGTCACATGGTGCCTGGGGCAGACCTGTCTCAACTCCTCAGTGTTGTAGCCCTAGCCAGAATAGGTGTGGGTGGAGGCACAGGCTGTAGAGCCAGGTGCGCGCGCGTGTGTGTGTGTGTGTGTGTGTGTGTGCGCGTGCCCGCACACGTGCACGCACACATGCACATGTTCCCCTGTCCCGCCTCCCCACCCCCTGCCCCAGGCTCTGCCTGAAGCCTGAGACTAGATGAATTTGCAGCGGCAGGAACTCTGGGCCCCCAGGGTGGTCAGCATCACATAGCATGCGTAGCTATGGCCCTCATCTGCCTCTCTGATGGGTGCAGGAACTGTGACAACCCTGAATGCATACAAGACCCTCAACCTGGAGTGCCTGGGTTGTCCCTGGGACTTTCTGCCTCTTGCCTCAGGCTGGGGGACAGCTAGAGGTATGTGGTTGGTATGTGTGTGACAGCCTATACCCACTGTGAGGCTACAGACTGTGACTGCATGGGGGAGACACAGCCAGCACTCAGTAGGGATGAGGGGCTAGTGGGAGGTGGGTAATTGGGCAGGGGCAGCCCAGGCTTGAGAGGACTGGGTAGGAGCTTGACTCACAGGTGGGCACAAGTAGAACTTAGATTCAGAATTCTCCACAAACCATTGGCCAACTAGGGCTCAGTGGGGGCTGCTCTTCTGTGTGTCTCAAATAACTGGGAGGGGCTGAGAGGCAGTCCTTGGGTGGGAGGGAGGGCCCCATCCCAAGAGTATCCAAGCAAGAGCAGAAGCTTCTCCATTCACAGAGGGGGCAGTAGCAGGCGGGTGGGATGTGGCTCAGATCACCCAAGCCCCCACCCAATCTCTGAGCCTGGCACTGGTTGAGCAGTGCCTGGGGCCGACAGCAGCCATATGTTGGAAGAGGAGCTGTGTGCGTTGCTCTGCGGCCCCCGGGGCCGGCCTTCCTGGGCCTGTCACAGACGATTTTTCCTGCCTGAGTGGCAGGCTGATTCGGGTGGGGTAGTGGGGACTGTTAGCTGGTTTCAAGTCCAGGCCCCCCACTGCCCTTGACCCCAGGATTTGCCTCTCTTGAGGCAGATCCTGGTCTTGGCCTTGAGCCCCCTAGAACCTCACTGATTGCTCCCCCTACTGTGGTAATCCTTGTCTAGCCCAAGGTTGGGGGCCTGGAGACTAACTCTGGCCAGTCAGCAAGGGACAGACCTTCCTGGTCAGATGTGGGTGGCAGCCAGGGGTCCACACTGGGCAGCCATGTGCCCCGGGCAGGCAGGAGAGGGCCAGGAGCACAGCCCTGTCAGCCCAGCGCCCAGAGCTCTACACAGGGAGGCAGGGAGGCCACAGCTAATTTGTACACTAAGTGCTTCTGACAGGGATGCCTCACAAGTGAGAACACGCCACCGCCTGCCCCAGGAAGGCCATGATAGCTCGCAGCACCAGCAATGAGGGCTGGGAGGGGGTCGTGGGAGAATAGGGCCAGCCCTGGCCAGGAAGTAGAGACTAGAGGGCCATGGATAAGATCGTGACACTGTTTAGGTGAGGCAACAGGAGATTGGAGAAGGGAGGGGAGCTTAAGAGAGGGAAAGTAGGGGAGCCCTGGGGACTGTCTCCCCACCATCTGTGTCCACTCTCAGCAGCAATGATGACTCCTGTCTGTTCTCTCTTGAGCTCTGTAATCCTATGCTCAGGACAATCCACTTTACTCCCTGCAGGCTGAGCTGAATCCCAGGTGTATGATAGTGGCTTAGCCATCTGGCCAGGCCTGCTGATGCCCAAGTGGATGCTGTTAGCTTCTAAGGCTGTGCTGGCCACCTCTCCACTCTCTCACAGTCCAGTTGCTTCCTCCAGGCCACTCCCTGCCCCAACTGCACTGCACCCAAGGAGTTCCAGCTTACCGTCCAATATTTGCTTAAAGATCTCACCTGAGTGTTCCAAACTCCTCTGTGGAGCCCTCCTCTCTCCACCCACACCTCTGCCTACCTACTCATGCCAACCTGTGTATTAGTAGGGGAGGAAATGTGCAGCTGCAGGCCTGCTGTAGACACTGGAGGACTTTTGTGTCTTGTATCCTGGACCTCCTGCCTGGGCTGTCCCAGGGCTGGAGGCTAGAGGCCAGAATGGGGTGGGTGCTTGAGGGGGGTGCAGAAGGAAGGGGTCTTGAGAAGAGCCTGGGTCTGGGATGCCAGGGTGCCAGCTTTTGCCAGGTGTGAGGCTGGTATGGCCTGGGCCCCACCCCACAGGAGGTCCAGCTTGGTGTGCAGTAGAGGGGGGCAGGGCCAGTGCTTTGGGCTCCAGCACTGTGGGCTTCGAGGTGAGATGTGTTATGGCAGCTGCCCTGCTGCCCGAGGCCCGCCTGGAGCCAACACTGCTGGTGGCTTTAATTGCTTTCACATTCGATGGGCTGGCCTGTGACAGCCTTTTACAAGGAGCACTCTGGCCGTGCCCCTCCAGTCCCGCTCCGCCTAGGAGGCATCCTCCAGCCCCAAAGGGGCTTGGGCAGGCCTGAGGGGGCTGAACAGCTCAGCATCACCTGTGACACAAGTCAGAAGCCCAAGCTGAACAAGCCTGGGAAGGGAAGCAGTGCAAAAGCAGAGTAGGAGTAGGAGCAGGAGTTGCCATCCCAGTCTCCCCGCTCACTGCATCTGCTTCTGCCTGGTGACTGATAGATTCAGACAGGGCCCTGGAATATAAGGAGGGAAAAACCACACACATACACACATACACACACACTCTGTCCTGTCTGTGAGGGTCCTTTCTAAGGTTGTAGTCTGGCCGGAGCCTCTGCCCAGCCTGGATGCTTGGTCCTTCCTGTCTGCCCAGTCTCTCCTCTGCCCTCCAGTGGCACATCAGAAGCTAACTTTGGGGACAACTGCACTGTAAGGGCCCTGGCAACTATGGTTCCACCATGGAGACCCCAACTGCTGCCTAGGGAAGTGGCCCTTGAACAGTCTGCTTTTTTGCAGACCCAGACCCTAGGTGGGAAACAGATAGGAGCCTCCCTTACAAAACAAATCGCTTTTATTTGGTCCTTGGAGCCTGAGTGGAAACCGCCCATGGAGTCCTCAAACCAGGAAGGGACTGACAGCTGATAAAATGGTCTCTGTGTTGGGAGAGCTGGCCATATTTACAGGGTTAAAAATATTCACAGCTCAGAATAAAAGGAGGCCCAGAGGGGAGAGGGGAGTGTGTTTCCAGGTGTAAAAACCTTACAAACCCCACAAGGTGCGAGGACTATGGGCAGGCTGGCTGCCTGCATGACAGTGGTAGCTGGGCAGGGAACCCAGGAAGCTGGACTTGGACATCCATGTGGCAGACAAGGTGACTGGCTTCAGCAAGCAGCAAGGGGATGCCAGGCAGGTGGGTGGCTCAGTTCCTTGGGCTTCCTGGGGGGAGTGGCTGTGTCCTGCCTTGTGCCTGTGATAGGGCTAGGGTCCCTCTCTGTGGCTAAGTGAAGGCCATAGGATGGGGCTTCTACTGGACCGTGGCCTGGATGGCCATAGTCAGGGCTGATGAGGACAAAGCACCCCACCAAACAGCAGGGCTGGGCCCAGCTCCCAACTTGCTGCCCCGTCATGGCTTCGATCCTGGCAGGCGCTCCAGGAATTGCATAGTATCATGGGAGGGGCCCCAGCCTGTGGCTACCAGGCACCTACCTCCTGGGATGCGCTGCTCAAACAATAGGGTTTCTGGAATTCTGCCTGCCTCTTAGGGGTGGGAGCCAGGCTCTGGGCAAACTGAGGAGAGGCTGCCTCCTGGGAACCAAGGGTAGTCCTGGCTTTCACCATGGGGTCCTAGCCTCTGACCCCAGATTTGGTTTGTGAACAGAGTTCCTGGCTACCTCTTCCTGGCAGGAGATGACCCATGCATGCTTAGGGTGATGGGCCAGCCTGGCTCAGACCCCACTGTTGCTGGATGCTGTCCCTGGGGTTGGCAGGTCATGGGGGCTAGCATGTGGCTCACCTGGTTCGAGGTATTCTGCTTAGTGTCTGGGAGCCTGGGCCAGGGGCCTGAGGGTGCTCAGGGATGGGGAGGGGTAGAAGGGCATGGGAGAGCCCAGGGGGAGCTGTGGCTGGCGGCTCCCTGGGCAGGGGTCCTGAGATTCTGGTTCAAGCGTCCTTCATTGGGGTCTCCCTCATAAAGTGCATGTGGGGAACAGGTGGGCAGTCTGCACAAGCCCCCACCCAATGGCACAGCAATCACAGGGGCCGAGGCCCATGTAGGCCAGCGACCTCAGGTGTGAGAGGCGGGCTATGGGTGCCCCTGGAGGCAGTCCAGTCACTGAGGAAGGCCTGGGCTGCCTTTCGGTGTGCCAGGCGGTGTGTGATGGAGAATCCAGCGTTGCCCTCCAGCTGGGACAGGATCACCAGGACCTGCCTGGGGGGAAGGGGCTGGTGAGGACCAGTGGGAAGCCAGGGTTGGGGAATGGGGCAGGAACACCCACCTGTGCAGGGGTGGCACACTGTCCTGGGTACGTAAGCTGCCACGCGTGGACACCACATTGAAGCTGTCAGTGCAGTCACACTGGACATGCAGGTAGGACCTGGGGTGCCGGTTCTCTACCACCACGATAAGCCCAGCCCAGCCATGTGTCAGGTAGTAGCAGGTCATGCCTTCACGGCCCTAGGCACAGATAACATATATAGGCTGGGGCCACGTACCTATAGGGTGACAAACTCTACCCACCTATATAGGCTGGGACCACCCACTCATAGTGAGGAACTCTACCCACCTCATGTCGTTCACCCCGGCTCTCAGTGAGCAAGATGATGGCGTCGGCCAGTGTGGTTGGCTGTGCCTCCACTGGCTCCACCATAACCAGTCTTGAGCTGTATACTGCAAGCACATGGCCTGGAGGCTCGGGGGTGCCTCGGGGGACCCCTGCTGAGGGGCTGGAGGCTGTGGGGGGCATGAATAAGGGAGCTGGCAGGCTTCCCAAATGGGAAGGCAGGCTCAGACCCAGGGTCTGGGGGGAGCTGTTACCCTGTGTGGCAGGGGGCCCTGGTGGAGCAGGGCTCCAGTGGTTGAAGGCACAGCACACCACAGCATACTCCCCGGGTTCCAGCATGACATCGCAATTCACAAACTTCTTCACAGCACGTTTGCTGTGGGCCAAGAGGCGACCCAGACTCAGGCGGCCACCGCTGCCAAAAGTGGCCCGGAATACCAAGATGCACAGGTCTAGTAAGTGGCTGTCCACTGTGTCTGAGCGCCTGCAGGCCGAAGACAGTAGGCCAGTGGTTTATATGGTTGTGGCCATGGGCTTCAGCCTAGCAAAGAAACCTTGCCCACTGCCCACCTGCTGCCTTCCTGGAAGAGGGCAAACTCCAGCGAAGCACGCTCCAGTACAGTAAGTGCCGTAACTCCCACAGGCCCACTGGCAGAGCTGGGGAAGCTCCCTTGAACTCGTGCCTCCTGCCAATCTGAATGCACCTTGCAGATATCCACAGAGTCAAAGTACCTGGATATGAGGACAAGTGTGTTGATACTGCAGCTCAGGCACGGTGTCCATACCTATGGGCCTCTGATCTTTGGCTCCTAGCACTGGACCATAGACCTCACTGTCTGTGTGCAGCCCTTGTCTTCCACTGGAATCCCTCAGGAAGGACTCTCCCAGCCAGGAAGTACTTGTCCTGGCTATAGCTTCCTGGGTACCACCAGGTCCACACTGCCTCTAGGCCTGGATTTAAAGGGAAGCTCAAGAGCTGTGGCTCAGAGTCCTAGCAAAAGCCAGGATACACTGAAGCTGTGCTGCTCAAGGCTAGCAAAAGGGTGGGTAGTGTTTCCCAAAGATCCACCCGTGTTAGGCCAGAGTGTGCAGTACCTGATGAAATCGCTGTACTCCATCCAAAAGACACCCTCGCTACTGCCCCGTGGCATCAGTTCACCCCGCAGGTGCCCTGGCCAGTGAGGCCACTCATCAGACCAGCTGCCATTCCAGGAGAAACGGCCCCAGGGGTTCCGGAGTCGCAGGAGCCTGCAGACCACAGGGCTGAGAGCCAGGACTATACTATACTCCTACATGTATCCCCACACCTGACCACAACCACCAGGACCTACCTGGAGCCTTGAATGTCACGGACGTCCAGAATGGAGTAGGCATGGCGGGGGCGTAGGCCCAGGCTCTCGTAGGCAGCCTCATCTACCTTCATGTTGCCCCCACCACAGGAGGCACCCATGAGGAACCTGTGCAGCAGAGCAGCCTTTGCTGACCAGAGTCGGTAGGGGCAGCAGATGGGGGCCCCCCTGCCCACGGGGGACACATGCTCAGAAAATCTGAGCCTAGCCCTTTATCCTGGACCCAGCTGGGGAAAGTGGATCCTAGGGTCTGTACCCTTCCCAAGAGTCTCAGTCAAGGCTCAGAATGCTGACCAGATGGGGCCAGTCTCAGTCATTCTCTCCACCCCACAGAAGCCTCAGTAGGCTCTGAGATAGAGGCAGTAGTCACTGGCATAGGCCAAATCAGGTATAGCCTTCCCAAAACGTTAGCAATGGCCCCACCTGGACAGAGGCCTGACCAACTCTTTATAGACTGTAGCCAGTCTGTGCAGAAGCTCCTCTTAAAACTCTGTGAGGGTCATAGGGTACTGCCTCCTGCTTTTCCCACCACTCACTTTGCCTCTCCTCCCAATGCTGCAGGCCTTGACAGCACCTGCCGCTCTTACCCAGCCTCCTTAGAACTCAGCATTTTGGCCCAGATGAGGTCAGTGTCAACAGGCTCCTCTCGGGGGTTAGTGGAGCTGACCTGCAGCGCCAGGCTCTCGCAAGGGGCGCCAGTGAGTGTGGCCAGGCCTTCGATGGCGCGCCCTGCCTGGAGGGCAAAGTAGGAGCCATGTAGCTTAGCTAGTGCCTTCTCGATGAGAGCCACCCACAGCTGCTTCCGCTGTGCCTGGGGAAAGGCTGGAGTCACAAGGCAGTCCCAACCTGCCCACCCCATTCCAAACCCTATGGGCCCACCTGTGAGAAGAGGAGGAAACCGGCTTCATCACAGGGCAGCATGTCATCCACCAGCACTGTGGTCCAAGTGCCATCCTTGCATAGTCGCACTTGGTAGGCACCTTCCACGCATAGGGTACGTGTGACCATCACCTTCTCGACTAGGTCAGGTCGCTCAGCTAGCACTGCCAGTGCACTCAGGAACCTGTGTGGACCAGGTGGCCTCACCAGGGGACCATGGCCAGACCAGTGGCCACCCATCCTCCACCAGGGTTGGTTGGCCCTGGGCAGGTGCCTGGAGCTCACCAGCAGTTCCCCAGCAGTCCCTGCAGGATGTCCGAGGGTCGGAGGGTGTGGAAGACGGACCACGGTGTGCTGTGGTCCCTGAAGACAGAGCAGTTGATCTCATGGGGCCTTAACCACTGCTTTACACGCTGTTGGACACTGTCGCCCATAGGGAAGCCGACAGATGCAGGCCCAGGGGGGAAGCTGTCGTCTACAAAGTTCACATTGTTCTGTAGGGATCACAGCCAGATACTCAGGCTGAGCAGGGTATACTCAGGTCCAGGATGATCCCACCATCCCTGGAAAGACTAGAAGGATGAGTTGGGTCTATGTGTGACCTACAGACCTCTGTGTTTGGTCAGACTGACCTATGTGGAGTGTTCACTGTCCGGATTATCCTAAGTGTGTGGGATGCAATTACAGTGCAGTTGATGACAAGTTGACTGCAACATGTACGTACTGGGGAGAGGGTACAGCCCAGCAAGTGAGAGGTAAGGGGGAATAAGGCAGCCTGCTGCTACTGCCAGGCTCAGGAAGGGCTAGAACAGCAAAGTACAGCAGCACTGAATTGCCCTTGGCCCTTGCCTGGGGAGACTGCCACTGCTCCTTCACCTTGAGTTTCAACAGCTTACACACTGCTCGTGGCCACCCCACAGTGCTCCTCTGTGAGCTCACACATCTGAGGGATTTAGGGATGTTCCTTGACAAGCGGAGACTATCACACATCTTAGTCACTAGCGGACATCAGTGGTCTGGAGGCTGAGCTTGAGTTCAGGTCAAGGAAGGGTCACTCACCTCCCTGCAGAAAGCCACTATGTTCTCCCAGAGAGCCTTGGCCTCGCCTTCATCTGTCTGACGCCGCTTCTCCACGTGCATGCTTTCCCTGCGCCTCAGGGGTGTGGCTCCCCAGTGCTGGGCCACCAGCAGCTGAGGAGTGTGGCAAGCTGCACAGTGTTTGGCCCGGGGTGTGTTGAGTAGGGTGCAGGCAGGACAGGCCCACTGGCCTGGATGTTCGGTTAGGAGGCGGGAGGCCTTATGGGCTGAGAGGCATCGTCCACAACCACTGCCACAGGGACCTGGTTTGTTGGCACCACAGTCTGGGCAATGGGTGGGGGGCTCACCACGTTCCTGGAAGCCATGCAGCTTAGAGCAACCACAAGCTGTGCACCTGGGGGCTGCTGTTGGGTTCCGGAGTGTGCACTTGGCACAGGCCCAGGTGGTGAAGTCAGGGCTGGAGGGGCTGGCAGGTGTGTAGCGTACGGTGTCACCGGTCAGGTCAATGACATCACTGCCTGGGGTGGGGCTGCAGGCCTCACCAGGGGTAGGCCTGTCCTCTGGGACTTCCTCCTCCAGCACACTCAACCTCTTGCCTGACAGAAGCTCTGCCAGGCGGGAGGCCCCAGCCCCGGCCCCGGCCCCGGCCCCGGCCCCGGCCCCGGCCCCGGCCCCAGCCCCGGCTCCAGCTCCAGACCAGCCTTTAGAGCTAGTGGAGGGTAAGAGCTGAGCAGCCTCAGGCACAGGTGGCTGCAGCTGAGGAGGAACCTCTCGGCGACTTCGGGGTACAGGGTTGTTCTGTAGGGTGGAGGAGAAGGGGCTGAAAGGTGGTACCCTGGGAGTTTCCTGGTTAGCAGAAGTTAGACCTTGGCTGGTAGAGGGAGGGTCAGCCTCAGCACCTTCCCCAGGAAGAACTGGCTGGGTAGGGACGGGTACAGTATGGAAGCCTGAGGGGGCCACTACCTCAGGGACCACCAGTGCCTCTGGGGGGATTCTGGGCAATGACAGTTTCCTGGGGCCTCCACAGGCAGAGCAGGAGCTGGCAACAGGTGTGTTGTGCAGGGTGCAGCGCTGGCAGGCCCAGCCACTTCTGGGCTCTGCCCCCTCCTCTGGGTCCTCTAGCTCCTCTGTTTCCTCCTCCTCAGGGTGTCCCCTGGCTGGTTCCACAGCCCCCAGTCCCACTGTCCGTACTGGGCCAGCCTCTTCCTTGCAGCTGCCCTTTGGCTCCACGAGGACAGTGGGAGGCTTGGGCAGGACCCCATTGATGATGGGCAGCAAGGTGGCCCCACGGCCAGGCTCTGGGGTGAAACCGCACACCTCACAGGCCTCCTTGCCCAGGAAGTTCCGGAATGTGCAGCGAGCACAGGGCCATTTCTGCTCCTCTACGCTGAGCCGCAAGATCTGGTCCAGGTCAGGCTTGTGCCGGGGGGCCTCGCAGATGGAACACTGGCGCTGGCCGGCTGGGTTCAGGAAGGTGCAACGTGCACAGGACCACTCCCCCACCGTGGCCATAGACCCGGGTGAGTGTGTGTGGCTGCAAGGGAAGGCCCTGGTCAGTGAGACTCCTGTGAGGCTTGTGGTCATTACACCACCCTATCAGGGAGGGCAACTAGGGGTGGGGGAGCTGGTGACATGGGGATTGTGGCCAACTCGGGATCAGGCTGCACTCTGCCTGTGCTCAGGTAGGTAGGGGGGCTGCTGTTCGAGGGTCTAAAGCATATATCCAAGGTCAATCCCATGTTCTAGTCTCCTTGCTCACTGGACATGACATGCCCCTAAGTCCTAGTTCTGGATCTGGATGAACCTGTGGTAGGGTAGTGGTGGGTCCTAGGTGGCTGCACAGAGCCTGCCCAGGAGAACTGCCTGAGCATAGCAAGTGTGGGCTGGGCTGGTGGTCAGGGCCAGAAAGCCTGCACCTGTTGCCATCCTGAGGACAAGACACATGGTCCCTCCTGGGTTTCAGGACCAGATACAGAGGACAGTATGTGAAGGGGAGGGTGTCAGCAACCCCAGATCTGGGTGAGTTTCTGGGCCTCTCCTCCCTGTCTAGAAGAGGAGGTGCTGGGACACAGGGAAGCAGGCAGTATTCACAACAGGCAGGAGTTTTCCAGGTCTAAAGGGACCTGGGATAGGTAAGGCTGGGCTGGCGAAGGGGGTCTCTGCACTCCATAACATCTCTTCAACTAACTGTGGCTTGGCCTGCAGGAAAATCAATTGTTCTTTATAACAAGCTTGCACTTCTAATCCTTTTGGTCAAGAAGAAAGAAAACTCACTCTTCAGGAAAAACAAAACCCCCAAGATCTCCCCAAGCAACACAAATGATTCCCAGAGCTGATTCTATAAAGGGCTGGTAGAACTGTGCTTGGCACACATGATGGGGGGAGGGTGTTGACCTGCCCATGGCTATGTCCACAGAGGGTAAGGCCTGAGTAGATAAGAGGGGCTCTGTAGAGCCCTGGGGTAGTGGAGTATATGGTTCACTAGACCTGGGTTTCTGTTCTTGGAAAACCAAAGAAACCTCCCTGGAAATGCCCAGACCTTTCCCTTTCATGCAGAGGGCTAATATCAAGACGCAGAACACGGCAGCATGTGCCCCTAAGAAACGTGTGCGTACATGCTTAAGCACATGCCTGGGCAACTGGCTTCATTAGCACACACACACTTGGCAGCACAGCCCAGCCAGACAGCCAGAGGGGCCTGTGTGGCCAGCAGTGAACCTGACCTTCACAGCCCATTCCTCAGGAATCTCCAGAAAACAGATTCAGGCAGAGACAGCTTTCGCATGCAACAACTGGCTGTCCAGGCGGGTAGCCCAGGCCCTCCAGAACATGCCCTGCCTCCATCTCAGGCCCCAGATTGAAAGTAAGAATTTCAAAAGTGCTGGGGAAGAGAGAGTCCAGGTATTTATGCCCTCTAGAACTGGCCAGTGCCTTGCCTGGGCTCAACTGGATCCAAAGCATGGTATCAGCTGGTCTAGCCAGTACGTGGAAGGACATGGGCAGAGGGACATGAGAGGTGTCAAAGTCTTCTTGATGGATAGGGCAAGATCAGGAAGATTCTGTCAGTATTTGAGAAACCTTAAACAAAAACCAATCCTTCCAAATTAGATTTGGTCCTGGAAAAATGGAAAGCTGGGCAGAAGGGCCTGTGGGACAAAAGGCCAGTTGGGACCAGGGATTTGAGACCTGGCCCCCTCTGCTTCATGTGGGCTGGGGTGGAAGGGGCTGAGGGCCAGTGGCCAGGTAGCTGGGAGACTTGATGGGGCCCCAGAAGTCACCTTGCTTGGCTCACTTGCTTTGGTGCATCCACTGCAGGGTCTGTGAGGGGACCAGGGACTCAAAGTCCTGAAGCCCATGAAATAGCAGCAGGAGGCCAGGACAGACACCACCAGGCCTGTGAGCAAAATCCCACATCAGGAGCCCAAAGACTCAAACTGATCTGATGAGTTGACAAATCCCTTCTGAAATTCTAGGGCTGGGGTCAGGGCAGAGCAGCTGCCTACTGGTGTAAGGTTCTACCCGCAGCGTGCGCACATGCACACACGCACATGCGCGCGCGCGCACACACACACACACACACACACACACAGGTCCTACAGAATTCTCAAAAAAATGCTCTCTTATCCTGCAGCGTACAAGTTCAGTCTAGAGGCAGCCATGCTGAAGACCCAAGGAACAATTCTACTTTTAGAGGGACTGGTTTATGGTGAGAAAGATCAAGACAAGGGTCTGTGAGGGGACTACACAGAAAATCCGGCACAGGATACCAGTTGGCTGGGCACTACTAACACACAGTTGGACTTGAAAGGGAGGCTGTGAGCTCATGGGGCATATGACAAAGCCCACCTGAAAAAGCCAGGAGGGAGCACTGCTGGGGAAACTAAGGCCACTGCACCCTGTTATGATGAGAAGGCCTTCTCATCATGAGAAACTAAGTCAGCAAGTGGTGTCCCACCCAGGATCTTGGTCAAAGGCTCCAGACCTCTGGGGATAGGCATCCGGGCTATAGGCCACAGCAAGGGATACTGGCCATACCTGCCAGCTGTACAGCTTGATATATCACCTGATAGCTCCACACCCTGTGGACCAGGCTGACTTCAGCAGTTCCGTGTTCACTGTGTACTATTTGCTCAAGGCTTCTACCTCATGCTCCCAAGGGAGAAAATACCTCCTTCCAAGATTATTCTTGGCCACTCTTGGGGTGGAGAAGGGCTAGGTTACTTTCTCTGAGGATGGCCAGCCCTTCTGAACCAACTGCTCACTGATGAAGCAGCTGGTGAGAGACATGGCACGTGAGGGGGGCTCCTATACTGGGTGAGGCAGTGGGCCAGACAGCAGAGGCACCATAAACCTTGTCCTCCCTGCTTCAGTGGCCTGTGAGCTCCACTTCACCATACACGGAGGCTGCCTGGAGGATAGTATCTGCTCTCCTGAGGATATGGTGAGAATCTAACAGGCGTGAAGCCAGTATACTTAGCTCTGCAGAGACAGTTTCTGCTCTGTGTCTTTCTTGACCTACCAGTGCCCTATCAGAGCTGGGAAAAGTCTGTACACTGTTTCCCTTGACTGTACCTCACTGCACCGCAAGTATGTATATACACATGTGGATGACAGGGTCTGGTAGGGCAGCCTGGTGTGATATAAGCAGTTGCTCTCCCCAAATTCTGCCAGCCCCAGCTCCTCCCTTCTGTTCCCTCTCTAGTTGGCTGTCTATGGGCTCCTCAAGGTCATTAACAGCACTTCTTCCTGCATGTCTTGGGGGCCACCACTCTGTGTCAAATAATAACAGCCTTAAGATCCAGAGCCACTTGCAGTGATGGAACAAACCAGGGCTGTGGAGGGCGCAGATAGCAGAGGGTCTGGCAGGAGGCCAGTGATGCTGTCACCAGGAACCTTAAGGTGAGAATCACCTTATAAGGTGAGAATCAAACCCAACACACGCACACACCATCAGAGGGACCTAACTGGCAAATCACTCAGGGATTGTTCTGCACTTGTGCTGGTCTAGGGTTCCAGTCTTTCTCACTGTGGCCAGAACCATGGCCACCACCACTCTTCCTGCCAAACAACCCTAGGAAGACAGGGCAGACAGACAACGGCTGCATGATTCCCTGGGGAGAAAGTGGACTAAGCTGTCTAGAGCTTGTGTCCTGGACAGGTATTCCTAAGGTCTGCGATTTCAGGCTGGGGGTAACAAAGAAGGGCTGAGCCTCCCTAGCTCTTTAAAAAAAAAAAAAAAAGAGGGGGATTTCTTTCTTTGTATTCCTCTGTATTTCCCTCCCCCTTTCTTTCTTGTACTAATGGAGACTGGTCAAGTGGTCTACCACTGAGCTTCATGCCCAGCCCTTACTTTCCAAAGTTCTATTTCAAGAGAGGGTCTAAAACAACAACAACAACAACAACAACAACCCAAAAAAAGGGTCTAATGTTGACCAAGGTGGCCTCAAATTTGCTATCTTTCTGCCTCAGCCTCTTGAGTTGTTGGGACTACAGGTGTGGGTCACCATGCCTGACTCATACTGTGTGAATTTTTAGTACATGTGTGGAATTTCTAAAATAAAAAAATTATACTAGATAAAAAATTTAAATGTGTCTTGAAAACTGTAGCTCTAGATTTAAAAACCTTGAACTTTCATTTGCATACATCATCTTAATAAAAAATAAAAGTAGCAAACCCACTCACCTGTCTGGCAAGTGTGTGGTGACTCATTGTGGGGCAGTGCCTGCCACTGTGACACTCAGAATGTAGTTCAGACACAAACAGCCAGACTCGGCCCAGTAATTCTACTGCTAACTACTTTTCCTCAAGATTTACACAGGTAGAAGTTTTTAAAAATCTGGATAAATGAAAACACAAAGATGTTCAATACCAGAACATATCAGGGAAATGCTAATCAAACCAAGTTAGACACAATTGTGTATCTTTTAGGATGTTTAGAGTCAAAAAGACAGACGCTAACAAGCACATTCAGGATGAGAGACACTAGACACCCACTCCACACTGTTAGCAGGAATGTGAAGCAGTACAGCCACTTTGGAAAGCACTATGACAGGTGCAATGAAAGTCACAAACCCTAGTGATTCTGCTCCAGGGATCTAGCCAAGACAATGAAAACATGCATCCACGCAAAAACTTCAATGTGAATGTTTACAGCAGCATTATTCACAAAAGCCAATTGGAAACAAGCCCAGTGCCCATGAACATAAATAAGAGATGGTGTATCTTTATAATGCAGTACTATTCAGCCATAAAATGGAATGAAATTCTAACGCATTTGTAATGTCGATGAACCCCAAGGACATTATGCTGAGTGAAAACCACCTGACCCATAAGGTCACACATTGTATGACTCCCCTTATGTGAAATTCTAGAAAAGGCAAACCTATAGACAGGTAGCAGGTTAGTAGTTGTTTGGGACCAGAATAGGGAGGGAGTGACTACAAACAGGCAGGAGGATCTTTTTGGGGGTGTAGAGATGCCATAAATTGGCTCATGAAGATGTCTGCACAAAGCTACAAACTGGTTGGGAATGATTATACCAACAGGTGAGTTTGATGCATACACTACTTCCCAACAGCCATTTGAAAAGATATATGGAAGTGTTCCTTAGAGTGACAAAGTATGGAGAGGATCTGTAGATGTACTCTTGAGACCATCATGTGCAGAAAAAGCAGTGTGCAGCCACCAGGCTGGGCCATCCCCCTTATCACTGATCTCTGCTGCTTTCTGCTCCTGTCCTCCCTAGACTTTAGTTCCACAGAGGCTCTCATTCACTAGGGTAACTGTTAGGATTCTGAACCCTCCTACAGCCCCAAAGACCCCTTATGTTCTTCATGTGCCAGGAGTTCAGACCTTATGTCAAAGCAACCTGAGTAGTCCAGGCTCCTGTGTGCTACCCACAGCTCCATGCTGGTCCAGCAGATGGCAGACTGTGGGAGTCACAGTCACATGAGGGCTGGGGTCAGCAGCTTCCCTGGTCCAAGAGGGTCTCCAGGCAGCTTTTGCAAGGCATGAGAAGCCAAGGCAAAGAAGTGCCCAACAGTGGGCAGTGCTGACATACCCTGGCCTTGGAGGAGGGGTCTTGCTCAGCCTAGAGTGGAAACAAACTTCTTGTACCTTATGGGGAATAAAATGCCAGAAAGCTTTAAAAGATGGGTCCCAGTTCTAAGCGCCTCTGACAGGAAGGGATACCCTGAAAAACAGGCCTCCTGCCCAAGACCCCTCTGGGGAAGTCCCTCCCCACCTTCTTACCTGCGGGCCCGGGGACGTGGGTGCTGCCTGGTGACCAGGGCACTCCCCCAGACAGGTGCCCCAGGGCTACTCCTACACCAGCCAGCCGCTGCTGAAGGCCCTGGGTAGGGCAGCCCCCTAGGGAAGCCATGGTCTGACTCTGTCTCGGTGGCCAGGGAGGAGGCGGAGCTCCCCATGGCCTCCCTGACAGTGGCCACGCTGAGAGCTGGGCCTGGTCACCTCTGGCCGGCAACACACGAACGGGAGCATGGAGAGAGCAGAGTGCCCACGCCGGAGACAGGGCGGCTGGCTGGTCAGTGACATAACAAAAATAAACAAAGAGAGAGAGAGAGAATAAAAAGAGAGAAAAAACAGTGTGATCACAGAGACGAAAGTCCCAGGCCCTGGGAGGGTTCCCAGCATGCTGAGCAGCCTATGGTGGGGTAAGGGAAAACAAGAGGCAGGGACCCCGGATTCAACTCGAACTATTCAGCACTGTGGGGCTCCTCTCATAGCCAGGTCTACAGCAGGTAGAGGTGGGTGAGGCTAGCACGCCATCCACCAGGGTTCCAGCAGTGCACATCATCCCACTCTGTCCCTGAATACTCAGCAACACCCATGCCACTTGTCTCTGGCTTTTACAGGAGTTTTATTCATTAGTTGGAAAAGAGATCATACTTTTTGCTCTATTATAGAAAAAAAAATGCATGGAAGTTTAACTACAGGAAAAGGAAAAATGAAGAGGCAGAGGACATGCCTGTGGTCTAAGCCTCAGAAGGGTCTCAGAGAAAGATAGCTGGAACCATCAATGGACAGAAAAAGACATAGGGGGCATGGGTTAAGCTGCATTTTTGGAAGTCTAGCAAGCCAGCCTTGCAAACCCATTCCCCTGGGCCAGCCCCTCAGCCTCCTTTTCAGAGACTCACACCTCCTAGGTGACCAGGAGACTGGCTAGGATGGAGCACCACTGGTCCTGAGTCCTGTGCCTCCCTCACTGGCTGTGGTCTCAGCAGGTGGACTACACACAGCAGAAGAGGCCATCCTACACCCCTGGCCAAGGAGGCAGAGCCCAAACAAGGCCTGCAAGCAGCAGTCCATGAACAGGAGGCTGACATGCACAGGCTGCCTGGATTATTAGGGCCCCAATGCCAGGGCTCTGGGTGAGGTGGGCATCCAGGCTATACTTCTGATTATAGGCTGACAGGCAGGCCTAATCCCAGGACTCCTCACCCCGGACTCAATAGTATCTACCAACAGCCCACCATGGCTTCTTGATAAACCTCTGGGACACTGAAGCTGGTATGTGTAGAACTGGGAGGCAGTCCCAAATAGGGAGGCCTCTCTACACCACAGGTGGTTGGGCTGATGGTTCCTTTAAGAGTCAGCACTTAGCCAGGTGCAAGAGCACATCCCTATGTACAATCTCAGATACTCTGGAGGCTGAGGCAGGACTGCCAGTCTGAGTCAAGCTTGGGCAACTTAGTGAGACGCTGTCTCAAAAATAAAGAGGGCTGTGACTAGAGCTTAGTATACCCCAAGTTCTATTCCCCAGTACAATACTGTTTAAAAAATAAAATAAAAGCACCTAACACCTGAGAGGACTAGCAGCACTGAGCTCAGGCTTCCTCAACACTGTAGGCCATAGGCCCAACAGTTCTGCACCCTTTCACCATCAGGCTTTGATCAAACCAACCGAGTCTGCCATGCAGCCACAACATCCACCTGATGGCCTTCTCACTTGAAGTGTGAGGGATTGCTTTCTCCCAAGAGGCTGGCTGGGATAGAGCACCACCGGTCCTGAGTCCTGTGCCCACTCAAGCCTCCTCCACAAGGAAGATGGGCACTGAATGAACACACTGTGATTCAGAGCAGGGTCACAGAGCATGGACCAGCCTACCAGCCAGAGCCCATTTAATATATTTTATTGGCTGGGGAAAAACTTTTAAAAAGGAAAACAATACAGGAGGTGAAAATTATATAAAATTCAAGTTTCACTATCCACAAATAGTTTTAGTGGACATGGCTCCCCACTCATTTGTTTACATGTTGCCTGTGGATACTTTTGGAAATTGCCCAGGCCAAAAGTCACATGTGTTTCTTACCTGGCTCCTTAAAGAAGCCTGGCTGGCTCAAGCCAGAGTAAACCAGGCAGGTTCAGGTTTCCTAGAAGCCAGCAAAGGCGGTAAAAGGACGGAAAGAGGAACCTGGGTTTACTTTGTGTAACCCAATACATCTGATATCACTGTTAATGTGAAATCATATAAAAAGACATTACTGAGATACTGTGAGGTCCAGGTCTTTGGGCTGCATTCACTGACTCATCTCAATATGGACACGCCACCTCTTGGGACTTAGTAGCCACATGTGCTTGTAGCTTCTGCATGAGGCAGTTCAGTGCATTAGCTGCTATAGCTGCAAGGGTCTGGCCAGAGGCCCAGCAAGGCACATTCCCTAGCCCCAGCCCCACATCAGCCAGGTCGCCCAAGATACTGGCCTCTCCTATGGTTAGCATCAGTGCTGGAACAATCCCTGCATTACTGAGCCTTGACACACAGCAGTCTCCTACAGAAGGCATTCCTAGTGTTCCCTCCTGTAACAGACCCTTATGCCCAACAGAGTTGTCCACAGGCAGAAACTGTTCCTGTGTCCAGAGCTCATCTGTGGTCAACAAAGTACCTTGCCTGCATTTGTGGTGAAAGAACCATGTACCTCTGGGTCCACCTGCAGCCCCCCTGACTGGGCACTCAGCAGCCTGTCCTAGAGAAAGACACTAGGAACACCAGGATTCAGTGCAGGGGGAGGTGTGGCCTCACCTGCTCTTCACTAACCCCTTAGCAGAACCAGGGCAGAAGCACTATCCACTGCATGGAAGACATGCAAGATGACTTACTGCTTGCTGAGCTGGACCTAGCCTCAAATGATCCTGAAAGGAAGGGAGGAGCAGCCTTCCTGGAGGGCAGAACAACAGTTTCTTCTTTTTTTTTTCCTTTTTTTTTTTTTTGTATTTTTAGGGAAGGGTCTACAGGGTGTCCTGGGCCTCACTACTAGATCGGACTCGTAATGATCTGCTTACGGCCTCTCAAGAGCTGGGATTACAGGCGTGCGCCACCACACTCAGTAGTTTCTTCTTGTTGAGTGCTCAGAAGACAAGGAATAGGAAGAAGTACCCAGGAAGAACAGAAAGCTCTGAGAACCAACCTTTTGGGACATTCAGGACATTTCCAAGGTGATACCACTCCACTACCCCATACCTGACTCCAGGGAAGAGAGCCCCCACAGGGGTGATAAGGAACACTACCTTGGCTGGGCAAGCCCCACTTCTGCCTGAGTTTACTGAGAGAAGCTTCCTGGCACAGTTTCCTTATCCTTTTTTTTTTTTTTTCGGTACTGGGGTTCAAACTCAGGACCTTGTGCTTACCAGGCAGCCACTTACACTGCTGAGCTATCTCCTTGGTTTTTTAAAAGACAGGATCTCTGTGTTCAGCAAGATCAGGTTGGTCTTGAACTCACTATGTAGCGCAGGCTGGCCTCAAACTTGTGGCAATCCTCCTGCCTGAGTCTCCTGTGTGCTGGGAATATAGGCATATACCACCATGCCTGTCCTCTTCTTCCTTGTACTAGCCTGGGATCCTGATCTCACTGGGTGACCACAGGGAACCTTTCTTCTTGGTACAACTGTCAGCTCTTATCTTGCCTTCACCCCAGGGCTGATGAACTTATGTATGGTAAATAGCTGTACCAAGGCTTCATGTGCCTTTCTCGTGGGGAGGAAGGGGATTCTGACAGGAGAACCTAGCAGCAGCTCCGTGGACTCTGCACCCTCCAGGTCCACCTGTTCTTGTAGCTTGTTACCCTCCATCAAAGAGGTCATCACACTCAAGTCACTGGTCCAAGGACCCTCAGGATAAGTCTTCTTTAGGCAAGGAAAGCTGGCCTCCCAGGTCTTCTCACTCCACAGCCTATGCACACAGTGAATAAGTGTATGGCACAAGGGTAGGGGCCATGAAGAACACATCATGGGCAGGGTCAGTCTACTTCCCACCTTCAGTCTATCTTTTAATAACCTGGGAAGTGGGTGGGATCTTTTATGAAGCAGCACCCTGAGGCTTTGCCTCAGATAGAACATGAGGGTAAGAACTTCCCACAGAGCACAGCATGGCTCTGGCCCTATGTCACAGTCCCAATATCTTGCCTGAGGGTCACCCTCCTCTGCAAAGCCTGGTGAAAGCAAACTGATGCTGTAGTCAGTGCCTCTGTGCCTTCGTTTGTGTGCCCCTGTGCTTACTCAGCAAGTATCTATAGTTCTGCCACTGCTGGACTGTTTTAGGTCTTTGGAGATGGCAATCAGTGATGGTGAGAGGCTCCTTCCACAGGCATTTACTTTCTTACTGCTGCATGACTTACACACCTCTACAGAGCCAGAGAGCACTGTGACCACACTGCCTGCCAGCAGGAAGGAGCAGGGTACACTGAGCATGATGAGGTACTCACTTCTAGTTGGCCATGGGAGGCACAGGCCTGGAATCCTAGCACTAGGAGGCTGAGCCAGAAGAATCACATATTCCAGTCTACCCTATGCAATTTACCAAGACACTCTCTCAAAATAAAAAATAAAAAGGTCTAGAAATGTAGCTCAGTGGTAGAGTGATTTCCTATTTTAATATTTGTACTGACAAAGTGAGAATGTAGTGCGCTTCCTTTTTTTTTTTTTTTTTTTTTTTGTATTTTAGGACAGGGTCTATAGGGTCTCACTGCATAGACTGGACTCACAGTGATCCTCCTGTTTACAGCCTCCCAAGTGCTGGGATTAAAGGCCTGCCACCATGCCCAGTCTCAATCACCATCTCAGCATGCCCCGGGGATGGGGCTGGCAAGATAGGCCTGGGGATTGAACTCCTGGCTCCTGCATATGCCTACACAGCTTTAATCCGCTGAGCTATTTGGCTGGCCCTAGAGAGGTTCCTTAACAGGAATAAAGACCTGGGTTCAAATCGCAGGACCACTAAAAAGAGATGTCTGTCTTCCAGGCCAAGGGAAGGGACTCCCCCTCATCATCTGTTACACCCTGAGACTCAAGGGCCAGTTCCTTCTCTACTTTCATCTGGGAACTGCTGCCCTAGTTTAAAATGGGGCAGTGGCCTAGATCTGGCCTCAGGGAAGTATGGGGGTGGCTGCTACTGCCCTGCAAGGAAGATACTAATTAACCAGGACCCACTGGCCTGGCCCAGACTTGGCTGAGGAATGCCCTGCAAGCACTTGGAGAACAAGGTGCCCAGGACGAGGAAGATTCCTCTTAGAACTTAGCATGGA